TTAAAATAATTAATAAAAAAATCAAAAAAAAAATAACGTGTAGCAAGTTAATAATGACAGTACAAAAAAAAACAAAAACAGAACTTTATTTTAGTAATCATAAAAATATAAAGCAAGAAAAAAAACAAAATCAGTATACGCAAATCATTTTCTCAGATCATAACTAAATAGGAAGAAGAAGAGATTCAAATGCACAATTAGTGGTGGTAATAATAATAATAATAGTAGTAGTAGTATTAGTAGTAGCAAGTAGTAATGATGGTAGTAGTTAATGAAAAGAAAAAAAGCAACGACTGAGCATATTTTCTTTCAACGTGAGTAAAATGTTTTGTTGAGCAATGGGGTTTGAATCAACATGTTTTTACTAAGAAGAGTACACGAAGAACAAACACTAATAAAAAAGACCGAAAGAAATGAAAACTATCTTTGGATAAGATAAGCATTTTCGTTGTCTACATTATGTTTTTAATGAGAAAAGAGATTTCTATTTTTTGAGATATGCAACAAGTCTGGTTTCAGAAGGAAAAAAAAAATGTTTTCATCGACACTTCGTAACATGCATAAAAAATAAACTAAATCTAATACAGAGAGCGAGAGAGAGAGAAAGATAGAGACTCTTTTGTAACTGTGTAAGTTAATATTGTATTCTTTTACTGAGGCTATTTTTCTTAGACATTTAAATATATCTTTCAAAAAGATTGTAATCGATAGTCTAGCAAATTCTTCTCTTCAAAATTCCCCCCCAAAAAAAAATGTATTGACTACATAAAACAAGTAAAATTCTCATAAACCAAAAAAAAAAAGAAAAAGAAAAACAAATGTGCTGCTACAGTGTTTAACGAGATCAATTTCAGAATGTTTTTTGTTGTTATTGTTATTTTTTTTTTTGCAATATTCCAAAGTGTAAATACAGTTTTAATCATATTAGAGCAAGAAGAACAATCATAATGAACACAACAGTATCTAAAACACACTGTAGTGAATAATAGAAGACGAAGAAGAATAAACAAAAAAAAAAGAAAAAACTTTATTGTTTTATTGTTTTAAAGCATTTCATAGTTTAAAAAAACAAACAAACAAAGAAAAAGAGTGAAGCAAGCAAGAAGAATCGTATATATATATATATGTGTGTGTATGTATGTATGTACGTATGTATGTGTGTAAGTGTTTATCAGACAAAGTTGCACGTGCTTTATTTGTTGCAAGGAAGACACTATGCTTCATGTATATATATATATATATATGTGTGTGTATGTGTAAGTAAATGACTGAATGAATGAGTGAGCGAGTGTATATATATATCTATACAGTAAGAAAATTTATAACATGTGCTCTTTCATAATTGGATTATTCTGGACGGCCATCAAATATGAATACCTGTTATTTTGTGGATGATAAGATTTTTTTTGATATTGTGTATATTGAGTATGTGAACGATTAGTCGTATTACGTGTAGGTAATATTTGATGTTGTTGAAATCGATGTGCAGAATTTTGTGTCTGATGAACACCTGATATTTGTTCAATTGGACCAATAAAATTTTCAGATTTATTATAAGATACAATTTGATTTATACCATCATCATTATCAGACGTAGAAGAAACAGATGTTGAATTTGAACTATTGGTATTATTATTATTATTAATTTGATGATGATAGTTATTATTATTATTATTATTATTATTAGTATTATTAAATGTACTGGTAATTAGAGTTGAACGAATAAAATTTGGAGAACCGATACGATGATCAAGATTTAATTCTTGAAAATGACGACGTAAACGATCGGAATAAGTTTCATAACGAGTTAACTAAGATAAAAATGAAAAAAATAAATAAATAATCGAATCAATTTTTAACAAAAAGAAAATGAAAATTTCGAATACTTACTTCATATTCAAGATAATCAATTTTTTCTTTATTATCTAGAATTTCACGTTGTTTGCTCGTTTGTACAATTACTTGTTTATCAGATGATTTTAATTCTTGTAATTGTTTTTTCGTTTCAGTTATTTGATGTGAAATAAAATCAAATTGTTCAAACTAAAAATTATACAAAAAAATGATAATTTTAATATAATTTAAAAATTAAATCAAATATCGTATACTTACAATAGAAAATCTTGTTTGTACAGATGGTAATAATGGTCTTTGAAATTTAAATGTTGAATCAATGGCTGGTGGTAGTGGAGGTGATGAAAATGTGGCTGCTACAAAATTAATTGCATCGACCCATTTCTTTAATAGTTCATGATCACTAAACGAGTAAAACAAGTTAATATATAATAGAAGAAAATTATTCATTCATTCTGTAGTCTTGAACTAGGACTGTGACAGTTATCATTAGCGTTACAGTAACTGTTCAGAAGTTACCGTTACCGGGTAACGGTAACTGGTAACTGTTACAGCCCTATCTTAAACAAAGTCAGTTATCGACATAATTTGAATGAAAAAGGAGTATAGTAGCACAATTGTACAATAAACTAACAGTTTCATTAGCCTTGATACACTGCTTCTCTCTCGCTCACTGTGTATACCTTGTTTGAAATAAATATTCGGCCCAATCAGCTGTTCTTAATCTAAATACATGTTGTTTTTTGGTATATTCTTTTGCTTCTGTTGCTAAAGCATGATGTACACGAATAGCATTTGAGATTGAATTATCACATAGAATTATTTTTGTATCCGTTTGAGATTCATTTTTATGTAAATACAGCACCATATCCCGTAGTGAAGCATAAAATGTTTTCCAACTACGACGCATAAATGGAGCTAAAATGTATATAACTTTTATTAGAATATATATTAAAGAAAAGATATATTGTTGATTATTTTTTAAAAAAAACATACTTCGTTTGCCATCTGGCTCAATGCAACATTTTCTATTCACATAACCCTGCATATATTCAACAGTTTTACTTGGATCAGGAATCTAGAGAATTTTAAATTAGATTAAAACAAAAAGAATTAAATAATAGAATAAAATTCTAAACATACTTCTAGAAATGGATTAACAAAATTACTATAACCATGAGCTGGACCACCTAATGAACGTGCAATATTATAATCTTCAGAATCAATACTAAAATAAAGAAAATAGAAAATATTATATTTTCTCACTCTTTTTCCAGATATCACATCAAATTTTCATTGATTATTTCAATAATAGAAAAGAAAAAGAAGAAATTAATTATTATCTCAAGTAAAATTCAAGTAGACTTTAATATCTAGTCGAATGATACTAACTGATCGAGTACATTCTTATATGTTTACAAATCACATTTCTTTTCTATAATAAGAGACAAAAAAACTCAACAACAACAACACTTTCGTGTATTTTTTAAGACAAAAATTCACTATTTCTTCACTTTTAAGTATAAAGGCATGTATTTAATTGCTCAGTATTTTTTTCTCAGTAAATAGTTTGAAAAGCTCAGTAATTAATTTAAAAAGATTTAGTATTAAGGGTGTGGGTGTGTGCCTTCCTGTATAACTTAGCGGCCGCGAAAATTACGCGGAACCACGTTTCCAGCTTCAATTCCGGTTACTAGAAATGAGAAAAAACGATTCCGGTCCGATTTCCAAAATATCATGTGGAACCGAAACCGTTAATCATCAAACCAATATGAAAATTTTAAATATATTTTAAGAAATTTTCACTATTGAATTGTTGAGATTAGAAAACGCCATATATTTCACTATTAAAGAAAACAATATTTTACATATATACTAAAATCTTTAATCTCAAGAATGAAAAAATGTAAATTTCTTGACATAGATTTAAGAATTTTTGTATAGATCTGACGATTTAACGTTTCCAAAGTGGTTTTTCCACGATTCACACTCTCTACTCCATCTCCCACACACAAATTATTAATTTACTGAGCAGACATGATGGTTACCGAAGACAAAATTTTATACTCATAGTTTGATTTATTTACTGATAATTTTGTATATAATACTAAGCAATAAATTATACTGAGTATTTAATTTGTTCCCTATTTAAAATCTAATAAGTCAAAATAAATTTGATTTAAGATACCTGTATATTTGAGTGTACACAACCAATATGTTGAAAAAAGACTCTTCTTCTCTCTCAATTGATGTACAATTATATCAGAATAACTATGACAAAAAAATACCATCGATACTTCTTCTCAAAAAAAAAAAAACTGATAAAAAAAGACGCACATTATATATATATATCCAAATTACTATTATTATTGATGCTTAACTTCAAGGTTTCTGCCATTTATTTATGAGACATTTCAGTATATTATTTCATCTTCTCTATTCTCGATTCATTAGATAAATACCTGTTGTGTAAAATACATTATGAAAATATAATTGATATTGTAGATATCACGCATTGATTATACATTATCAAAATAAATTTGATGCTTTACAGTCATTGTTTTTGTGTTGTACGTGTGTGTGACAAAAAAAAAAAACAACAACAACAACTTTGAGTCGTTATCTTTTAGCATATGTGTTATTAGTCCCGTTGTCGTTTTTTTTTTTTTAGGCATGTAATAATGTCAATAAAGAAGGCGAAAAGAAGAAACACGAAGAACATTTTTCGCCAATACTAATAATCATCATCATTATTAATATTCACAAAACGACAGACAAACACGTTTGAGAATCTATACAGAATATAATAAAATTAGTTGAATTTTCTTCTTTTTCTTCATTTTTTTTTTTTTTTTGTCTTCAATCTAATTGCAAAAACATAAAAAATTCATTCTACAAGAATGAATTCTTTCGACATTCGTGATCTAAACAGTTTAAATATTTTAAATAACAGATAGAAAATCGATTAATCATTTCCGAATACAAAATCGGAAATAAACAATCTTATACGGTTAAATAAATGGCAACAACATAAAAAATTTTGAACAATAAACAATACAAGTTCTTAGTAAAGAAAAAATGAAGAATAATAATTGTCAAATATATTTTTCTATTTGAGAACATCATGTAAACTACACATATACTTCAAGTGATGAATTGAATTTTTTTTTAGAATAGATCCTTCTGCTAAATGAGATATATTTTTTTAATAATTTCTCTTCTCAAATAAGACTAGAGAATGTACAACAACAACAAAAGAAACAATTTGAAGAGAAACTCAAATTCGAGTTGAAAAATTATTTTTTATCTCACTCTAGAGCTAGAGATGTGTAGAAACTATATTTCTACTCATAATCCGTTTTCCAGAATAAAAGAGTTTTTATTTTATTTTTTTGTCATAAATTCTGTTAGTGGTGAACCAGGTGGGTTTTTTTTTTTTTTTTTTTAGCAGACATATCTTGATTAGAAGCACATGGTAAGCAGAAATAGGCATGTCGGTAGAAGAAGGTCAATAATTGAGTATACTGTCATCATTAGAAATAATCCATGTGTGTTGATGATTCGAAGATGTTTATATACCGGTAGAGAATATCAATTGTGTACATATATATCAATCTTATTCCATTTTTTTTTCTCCTTTTCTGTTCTTCTCATATATGTAATATGTTTGTATAAAACAGAGATCGGATAAGTAGAACAGAAATATTTTAACATGATTACAAATTGAGCAATGATGTTTATACTATATAAGAGTCATATTATAAGAAAAATAGAGTCATTCTTTGATAAATGACTACTACTTTTTAAATATCTAAAAAATTTATGAGTTCACATTAATTATAGTATGAATTTTTTCTCATACTGATGTTCAATGTTTCATATGTGTGTGATCACTATAAGAGAGAATGAAAACCGGTCTATTGTCTATGATGTTTTTTATATATGAAAAAAAAAAAAGAAAAAGTGTTTGATCTTTCATAAATTTAACGAGTGTATGATGAAAGTTAATAGTCTATTCTTAACTTATATTCTTTCCACATAAAATATTTTCACACTACTACTTTCTCATTAAATTACAGTTGTATTCTATCTGTTCAACTCATTAAAAGAACGAATCATACACGTGATTAAAAATTTCTCCTGTGATTAATCTTGAATAATAAAATATTTTAAAAAATGTCTAAACTATGTCATATTATGAACTTTGATTTAAATTTTTCTAACATTGAAATCATTTTTATATAAGAATAATTTACATGATTATGTGTTTAACGTAGAAATCTAAAACAAATATCTTTAATCAATAATAATTGCATTTATTTCATTTTAGAATGAAACCAAGCGTCAAAAAAAAAAAGTCTAATATCGCCCGATTCATCTAGATTACTCGATTTTTACTCGATTGCAACTACTGTGTAACAACAGTGGAAATCTAGTAATTGGGCAATTACTAGATTTTTTCTAGTTGCAACTATTGATTTATCGCCCGATAATCGATCGATTCAACTATTGCTAGATGCACCTGCAGCCGCATCTAGTTAAAAATCCCTTTTCCAACTAGTAATCTAGATGACAACTAGTCGGATATCGTCCGATTACAGATGAAATGTATCTAGATTTTTCTCATAGGTGATATTTGCTTGAGAATTAAGATTTGATACAACTTAGATGTGTTTTATATCTTCATTTTTTTTTTTAAATTTCTCTTCATGTCCGTTTTTTGACCTACATAACAACATCAATAAAAGTTGAAGAGAAAAACTTGTAAAAGATATTCCTCTCATTATTATTTAGCAATTTTACTCAAAAAAAAAGTGTGTAACAAAATAAAATCATTTCTAACAACTTCAATTTTCATAAAATAGAATGATACAATAGCTAGTTGTTGTTTTGTTATCTACATAGATCATAAAAGATATTCCTCTCATTATTATTTAGCAATTTTACTCAAAAAAAAAGTGTGTAACAAAATAAAATCATTTCTAACAACTTCAATTTTCATAAAATAGAATGATACAATAGCTAGTTGTTGTTTT